ATCGTCTTGTCGTGATCTAGAGCTAAGAGGATATTTCTGGTGAAAGCTCGTGATTTTTCAACATTGGCAACACGGAGCTGCCATTTTCCCGCCGGTCATATTATCTCCTTGCGAAGTCGTGAAGTTTGTGTCAATGCAGTTCATCCTATAATATGAAGCTGAAAGACGAAATTTACACGCGCTTGCTTCATGAAATCCGTCATCAAATAATTCTCACGATGTGCTTGTGAAGGATAATTATGTAGAACATATAAGCGCTGGCATCTCATTCGCTTCTCCAAGAGCAAAATTTGTGAGGTAAAATTTTTTCGATCTCTTGAATTATAAGATTTCCATAATAATTAACGCAAAACGATCGAAGTTTAAGATGGGGCAATACTTACAGTACCACAGTACAGTACCATCAATACAGTACAGTATACTTACAGTACAGTACCATCAACTTATTTTGTTTAACATAAGCATAGATCTTACTGGAATTGCCGGTCATGAAAATACACATGCTCTGATAATAGCCAAACTCGCCTCGGACACAAAAAAAAGGCTATTAATGCCACAAGATAAGCGAACTAACAATCAAGATTGAAAAGACTTTCAACACCTCTCATGTACATAGTATAGAAACGAGCAAAAAATTACATCATCATCACTAATCATTAATCTCCAAAGAGTACGCAGTCAGCACTCACGCTTGTTCGAGGCGATCGCGAAATCGGAGTTGTAGATAAAATTCAAGTTCTCGCTTCGAACGGTGCTTCATTAAACGGTAACGAGCACCGGCTGTATGTCGACACTCATATGTTGACCCCAAAACAAGACGTAGCACTGCACACAGGCTACATGATGTAACATTAGCTCATATGTACATCCTGTGGATGGAGAGTACGAAACACCGCGCATTCGTCTATTTATCGCAAGCGTGCTATCGTTTTGAGCGACCTTGTGAGTGCTGCATTTTGAACCAAAAAGTTTCAACGCGAACATAATAAAATAGTCAACAATTTTAAACACTTCGTGAAGAGAAAAACGTTCCGAATAGTTTAACCGTAAATTCACAAGATTACCTCCTTCAAAGTACTATTATATTCAATAAACCACTCTTATCCATCAGCGCGCTGAACCCAACACAAACTGTCCTGTTTCGTAGATGGAGCTCGTAAATGACATAAAATTAAGCAACATTTGTGCTTCGAAACATTTTTTCTGAAATGTTTCATACTATTCCAACTATTTATTACTAATTATTATACAGTAAAAAATTAATTGTGTGCGCTAATTGTTAACAGAGAACAAGCACACAAAAAACGGAGCAACGAATGCCCTATTACATTTCTTCCAACTGACATAATGTTTTATAATTATCATGGCTTTTATTATACCTATTTCTCAACTGCTGGCCTTATCATGTCTTTTATTAATCTGCTTTCTGGTCATTGATATTCTACGTCAAATACGAAATAACCCAACCGAGAAGTGCCAGTTTCTTGCAGTAACTAGAACGTATTCGGCAAGTCATGAGCAGTGACGGCAAGTCGTGAGCAGTGACGGCGAGTCATGAGCAGTGACAGCGAGTCATGAGCAGTGACAGCGAGTCATGAGCAGTGACAGCGAGTCATAAGCAGTGACGGCAAGTCATAAGCAGTGCCCTCAAGTCATGAGCAGTGACAGCGAGTCATAAGCGTACAGATGGCAATGTTATAAATTACTGAGCTGTCGCTGTCAAGTGGTTTCTGCGCTATCATTTAGCGAAAGAAGCAATAGATGACCAGCGGGCCACCCGAACATAATAGCTCCGGCCGACCATAGGCAGCCTCAAAACCACAAGTTGCCTCAAGAATACACAAATATTTATTCTCATAAATCTTCATTTGAAAATCACAAAACGTTTGCTTAGTAAGTCTGAATAAGTAGGTAACTCAAGTCATGTCTGAGTTGAAGTGACTACTTGACCAAGTGCAGATGCCGGTTGAACTGACTATAGTGAATTAAAATTTTAAAGTGATTATACCGCGAAGCAAACTCACAAGTTGAAGGTTGAAAACTGAATGAATTATATGGTATATTTGAGCTATCAAGGCTTCAGATTTTTTTAATCCAAATTACGTTTATTCTACTTATCATTTTCTCTTGAGAATCTGTCTCTAATTGAGATACTCAAACATCTCTTACTTTTCAGGCGTTTGGAAAAAGTTGCTCTCTGATTCTAATGAATAATCGTGTTTTTTAAAGATAAGTCGCCAAAATAAAAAAAAACATATAGTGGCATGTAATTTGACTTCCTCATTTGGCACTGCACAGACTACTATGGAAAACTCAGCGCTCAAAATTTTGAATGGCTATAGGAAATGCTTTGTCCTTGATGCCCGCGCAGGCGAGAAGCCACAGGTGCAGTTCAAGGGACAACGAAAGCTTCGCTTATAGGATTCGGGACCCTGAGCCTGAGGTGGCTAGTCAAGGGATGACCTGTCAGCGTTATGCTGCGTGGTGAAGTCAGCTGACCTCTCTGACGCTGCCGCAGCTGACTCTAAGTCAATGGGTTTGGTTGTTAGTGTCACAACTCGGTGTGAAGTCAGCTGACCTGACTGACAGTGTCACAGCTCAGTGTGAAGCCTGATGACCTGACTGACAGTGTCACAGCTCAATGTGAAGTCTGATGACCTGACAGGCAGTGTCACAGCTCAGTGTGAAGTCAGCTGACCTGACTGACAGTGTAACAGCTCAATGTGAATCCTGACTGGCAGTGTCACAGCTCAATGTGAAGTCTGATGACCTGACTGGCAGTGTCACAGCTCAGTGTGAAGTCAGCTGACCTGACTGACAGTGTAACAGCTCAGTGTGAAGTCAGCTGACTTAACTGACAGTATAACAGCTCAGTGTGAAGTCAACTGACTTAACTGACAGTGTCACAGCTCAGTGTGAAGTCAACTGACTTAACTGATAGTGTCACACCTCAGTGTCAAGTCTGCTGACCTGACTGACAGTGTCACAACTCGGTGTGAAGTCAGCTGACTTGACTGACAGTGTCACAGCTCGGTGAAGTCAGCTGTCCAGACTGTCCGTGCCTGTGCTTGCCGTTAGTTTCTGATCCAATAGGATGATGAGGTCGGCGTTGCGTAATACCCTAGACTTTGATTTTAACTGTAATATTCATCCGTATCATTTTACATTATATTCATAAAACGTACTCATAAAAAAAATTAAATTAACACTATCTTTATATATAGATCATGTCGTTATTATGCCAGAAAATTGCTATGCCGAAATCAGCTACAGCTGTCAATCAAAAGACTTTGAAAGCGTCGGGTGAAGAATTCGTAACATCAAATTATAAAATGGAATAATAAAATAATTTAAAAGTTCTAAATCTATATACGTAGATTATAGATGCATATAATCCGAAAAGATGATTATTCTCAAACCAAGAGATTGAAGATTGAATTTTAATGTGAATGGTCGCGATAGGTGCTATTGCTACAATAAAAATGATCAACTACGCGTAAGTGAAAAAATTCTCACTTCAACTATTAACGAACTTAGCATATATATAAAAAAATGACCACCAGTCGGAATGCCCACTTCAACTATTAACAAACTCATTATCCGTTACTCTACTTGATCCCCTTAACTGTACCTGAGCTATAAAGGTATCTTCTATTCGAGATTTGGACCTAGAGAAAGTAGGGACTCACGTCGTGAAGAATGAATATTTGATCCCTTATGAATTAGGAGTATGGTTCCTGCACAGGATTTAGGAGTTCTTCGCGACTTAGAAAGTTCCAGAGCGGCGAGGGAAAAAGAGCATCTGCACAGTAAGCCGCGCACGAAGTTAAAGCGATTTACGGCTTTTGAGAAGATCAGTCTTCTGGCCACAAAAATTGCGACTTCATTTCCGAGTATAACTGAGGATCGACGCATTAAATTGCACTATATACTGAGATTCGAATGACTATTCCCAGAAATACAGACATAAAATTTAATGTTTAATATTCGCAACGCTGAAAAACTGCATGTCACTATTTCCGTCTATTTTCTCATAACAATGATCGTCCCCTTAAATTTGAGTCACCGAAAAAAGCAAAGTCTCAGTCGTTGGGATGCTTTCCATCTTACGTCTTTTTATGAATAATGGATGATGAAACCTGCTGAAGCGATAAACGAATTTCAGCGTATCATCTAGACATGAGAAGACCACTCAGGCAAGTAGGCCCATAAACAAGCACTTCAACTGTACATGAGATGAGTTTTGAGAAGAAAAGTTTAGCCCGAGAAGAAGGCGCTAATGGTTGAGTTTAGCATCCGTCAAGTCTCAGCGTCACAAAAGTAAGAGGCCGCGCGCAGCCTTGAGCGTCCTCTTAAGGGCCAGTCGGAGTATTGATGAGCGTCGTTAGAATTCACGGTTCCCTCCACAAGGGAAATGCCAAAGACCTAAATTTCTTGCGATGGGAATAAAGAAGAGTGCGTGTCATGGCCACCGCAGACTAGCCCTCTCTCGAATACATAATCCTTCACGTACGAGGAGCAATACCTGGGCTCGCATGGCTCGGCAGAAGGTTAGCTCGTAGCGCGATCCTTCGATGGTAAGTTTGTTTTCACAGGCGAACGTATTTTGTCATGAGGGACAATGAGGAGGGAAAAATTTAGTTTTTGTTGTACCTCTCCACTCTAAATTAATGAAGTAGATATCGAAATTTTCATAATTTAACTCTAGGTCACTAGTGAATGACAACTTAAGATGATTAGAAAAGAAATTAATTTACCTGCCTCGTAAATTAATTCATTGCCCTTGCATTGATAAAATATTTACTTAAATAAAATTCAGGTACAAATTTGACGTCATATACAAAATACATAAATTATTAGATTGAACCGCACAAATCAATTCCGGATATAACAGTCCAACAAAAAAATATGACTATATGCACATTCGAACGAAATATTATTACTAAGAATTCGCGTAGTGCGTACTCGATTAAAAAATTCAGATGCGAGTTAAAGCCTACCTTTCCTCTTGAGGTCAGTGTAGATGAAGCAACGGCTGGGAGCGAAGACGACACAGGGGATACAGGAGCGTTGGTTAGGGAAGGGGGCGCAAGTGTGGGCAATGTCTGTTGTTGGGATAAAAGTTGGGATGCGGGGCGCTGGGTGAAGAATCTTGGTGAAGACTGCGGCTGAGTTGAGAATCCCAATGGAGCAGCTGGAGGCTGAACTGTCAATCTTGAGGCAGGTTGAAGTTGAGCAGAAAATCCAGGCGGTGGAGAGGGAGGTTGAGCAATGGATCGGACGGGTGCCTCAGGTTGTGCAGAGAATCCAGGTGGGAGAGCTGGTGGAGATATCACCCTTGGCGGCTGCCGGGCCAGGTTTTGGAGAGACGGTGGAGCAGGAGGCTGTGGGAGAGAGGAGCTTAGGTCCAGAGGGGGGCCGAGAGGGGTGTTGAGGTCCGCGTGGCGAGCGGTCCCTAAAATGTCGTCCAGAGCGGAGTTGACGCGTTGCCGGGAGTTGAAGAGGAAGCCGTTGAGGGTGAGGAGTCGAGTGCCGTCCTGCAGCGTCATAGCTGCCGTCACCCGCACGCCCCCGGCCACCAGGCCTGGCGTTGCAAATAGATTTCAAATAAAATTTAAAATTCACATTCATAAGGTAACGAAAAATTCGTCGGTACTTTTATTTATTTTCGCAAAGAATAGCCAAAGTCTGGTAGAAGCTGAAAATAGGGTGAAGTGTTAACCGAGTTAGAACTAATTAACTCATTTAACTAGGTAGCAGGGCAAGTGATCGGGTTTTATTCTGAATAAAATCATATAAAAGCGGTCATGCGAATACATTTTAATTTTTAGAGGCGTCCTCATAGCAATCATTAGTCTCATAATTACAGCAGTATTACTCAATACGAGAAAATTATTTTTTGAATGCGATAAACTGATAAATTAACAATGATGATATTACATATTGTTTATAATTTAAATGTGAATAAGAGACACTGCTAACTCAAAACTGACCCGAATATCTGAAACAGTTATGAAACAAATTGCCTTTTCAAATGATTCGTAAGAATTGTGAACTGTTTCAAATGCCTGTAAGCAGTAGCTAAGCTCCAGCACACATCAGGGTCGTGCAATTTGCGACGCGACAGCAGCAAACTCGTCGCGCTGCGATAACGTATCTTCAACTTGCATACGGTGCTTCGCGCGCTGCTATCGTTCACGCAGCGCAGGTTGCAACGCGTTCTCAACGTGTCGTAGGTGTTGTTGCTGTACAAGCCAGCGAGGTAACCACAAGGTTAATTTTTCACCACAAAGTTTGAGGGTGTTTATGTCATGTAAGAATGGTGGCTGAGTGGAAGAGGAGTTAATAGGTCGGCGAGACTTGCTTGTTGTGGTGTTTAACTGTGCATTTGTTTACTTTGTGTCGCTGGTAGCAGATAGGCTTTTAGAAGATCATCAAAATTGTCGTCTTTTTTATATACGAGTATTTGTAAATCTGGGATAGTTCATATAAAAACTAATAGGTGTACAATAATTTTTTTTAAAGTTCATTGCCATTTGTTGCTAATGCAGGTAAATTAGCTTCTTGTAGCAAAGTCAAAGTTAGAATGTAACGTAAGCAGTCATCACTTGATTTATTATTTGATGATACATTAAACGTTTAGTACGACTCAGTGTTAACAGATGACACGCTCTTACTATTCATTATAAGGCAAAAATCAATTTGACCAAACATTGTGAAAAAAATTAAATAAAATATTTTGCATTTTTTGTTTGGTGACGATGCAAAACATTTTTGACTATCATACCAAAACATGGAATGCATCGCTCTCGCTGCACGTCCTTGACTCCGGCAATATTGATGCACTGTCTTTTTGTAAACAATACAAAGGGTCATTTTCTGGCGATGCGTCTTGCATGCGAAAGAAAGAGTTCTTAAAATACCATACTTTTTGCGTGTCTTCCATGTGCAATTGTGCATCCTAACTTGCGTGGCACTGGGGAGAACCAGCAATCTATTGAGCCTCCATTCAAATCCAAAGGCTTTGGAGACAAGTAATGCATGGGTCGTTTGATCAACGACGCGTTGAGGAAGATTGATTCATGCCTGATAGCGACGATGAAGATTGATGAAGATTGAAAACTCGTGCGTTTTGACAATGTAACCTCAATAATTCTTTCATCGCAAGGATGAGTAAGCAAAAAATATAAAAATAAGAAATCTAATTGGAAAATAGAAGTGGAAGTCAAACAACGAATAATCATATTCCTTGAATGTTCTCTGTTTTTTATTTATCAGGATTTTCGGTTTTCCACAGCAGTTGTAACTTGAAAACGGTCAACATCATTTTAAACTTCTTATTCACAAATCAATTCTACCCGTTGTTGATGAAGAAATCAAATATTTTTTACAGGTGCTCCTGAATTTTATGGTTGTCAATTCATCCATCGTAACGATAACGGATTTTTATTTTTATCAATATTTGTTTTTTACGCAGTTACTGACTGTTTCTCCTCTTACAGAATTTTTGTTCGGCGGGTAACAGATATTGAAACGGCTTAGTTATGAAATAACAGAATCACTACTAGTCTTTGAAGCGACCTTCTGAAGTCATCCAAGTGGAGCCAGAGCTACATGCCCGAAAAGCGTACCAAACATTCTTATTAAAGCGGAACACCAGCTGCGTGCCCGAGAAACGACCTACCAAGATTCTCGTCAGAGCGGAGCAACAGACGCCTGACCAAAAAGCAACCTACCAAGCTTGTCGCCAAAGCGTAAAATCAGATGCCTGCATGAGAAGTGACCTACCTGCTTCTCATCGAAACGAATCACCGGCTGCTTATCTGAGAAGTGACCTACCAAGCTTATCGTCAAAGCGGAGCTCGAGCTGCTTGCCCGAGAAGGCTGGCACGAGGAGGCCGGCCGGCTGCGTGAGCGCAGGGTCGTTGAGGTCGATGGCGTCGTAGAAGATGTGGTCGAGGAGGAACTCTTTCCTGAGGGCAGCGTAGCTCTGGTTCCTGATGTAGAGTGGGTTGAGCAGATGCTGCGGCGTCAAGTTCAGCATGTGGAAGTCATCAGGGGCTGCCACTGTCCGCACCTCTGTAAATGAAATGAAGACATGGTTTTTGTTAATGACAATTAGGTGCCTCTCAATACAGTTCATCAATGCAATGTGCTTCTTGCGTGAATTTATTTTTATCTGATTGAAGAAGCTGAAATGCCTTTGAATACTAAAATGATAGAGTGGAACTCGCATAAAATCAAAGACTTATAGTAAATGCTAAAAGATCATTATAATTGAGTGCAAAGCATAACATTCGACTAAGGAACTGCTCTAATACCGGCCAAATTATAACTGTCCGAGAAATTGCATTGCATTGTATAAAAATACCGATAAATTATCAACTTGACAATTTCCTGGACCTATTGTTCACCAGCAATGAAGAACTAGCTGCTGCTGCTGTTCGGGTTAAGGAGACCACACTGACGACCATCGACTAGTACGAGGCGGCCGCGACAACAATTGGGTTTGGGAACCAGCCCAGAGCTACATCTCGAGAGGGCCTTGCTGGGCTAAATTTTCGCCATCTTAGAACGGAGTGGGAGGCCATTGGAAACGAACTCCTTGAAATCAATTGGAAATCCGTGTTTCTGGAGTTGAATGCCGAAGCAATGTACAACAAGCTATGCAAAGTATTACTGCAGCTATGTGTGCGTCTCACGCCGGGAAGAACGACCCCGAACGGCATATAATTCCAAGGGACACACGAATCCTCATGAGAAAACGAACGAGTCTGAACAAGCAGATTGCCGCCTCCAGTAATACGGAGAGGCGGAGGCTGTAACATCTAAACTCTAAAGGATGAAATTGAGGAAAGTGAACGGCAGCTGCTGGACTCACACGAGGCTGATCAACAAGTAGCGGAGACACAGGTGGTGGCTGCCATTCGAAAGAACCCCAGATATTTCTATAAAAATGCCCAGTTAAAGTACAAAATCACGACCGCAGTGGGGCCTCTAAGGAATAATTATGTCCATATTGGTTTACGACCACGGCATGTGCGAAACAAAAGGAGCGCCTTTTGAAAAATGAGAACGAAATAGGAGTCTGTTAAGAAAACTGGCAGGGGGCGGGTACTGATGAACAATGAGTTTTAAACATCGGATCTTGAGACGAGCATCCAAGAATTATAGACTTATTCGGCTCCTGGGTCAGATGGAGTCCCTGCAGTGTTACTGAAAAAATGTGTCGGAGCACTAAAGGTCCCTCTAACTTTGATCTGGAAAAAAATCATTGACAGAAGGAAACGTTCCTAGTTACCTTAGGTTAGGGCTAATAACTCCAATATGCAAAGGAGGCGCAAGCGGAAAACCCCAAAATTAACGGTCAGTTACATTAACATCACTTGTTGATATTTGAGAAGGTTGTTGCCACAAGGTTGTTGCAGTAAATGGAGGAAGCTGACCTTTTCAACAGAAGACAACGCGGTTTTAGGCGAAATCGCTCCTGTTTATCTCAGTCACTGAAGCATCACCACCAAATCCCGGCTATGCTGGAGGAGGGGGCCGGGGTGGACGGGAGTATTTAGACTTCGCGAAAGCGTTCGACAGAGTTGACCATATAGAGTGCTGCTCAGAAAATTAAGACTACTGGGGTCGGAGGTGAATTGTTGTCATGGATTCGCAACTTCCTAACTGAAATACTACAAGCTGTCGTTGTTGGAGACTCGAGATCGAGCGAGGCGAGGGTGGAGTGTGGGGAACACAGGGAACGGTCATCGACCCTATACATATATTCTCTTCCTAGCCCACAGCGCCGGCATGGATATGGCAGTGAACCACGCCTCTACATCGTCATTCGCGGACGACACCAGGAAACTAATGACTATTGCGGACAGGAGAGACTGAGAGATTGCAAGAAGACCTCTCTGTAATATATGACAGGACCCAAGTGAACAACATGCAGTTCAATGGAACCAACTTTGAGATTGTGAGATACAGAGGTAGCGGAGGAGCTGGTATGGAGCACTGCTACCTGGCACCTGACGGCTCGGAAATCGGAGAATCGCGATCTTGGAGTGTTGATAAACACTCAGGTCAAGTTTGGTTATCACATGGCGGCAATAACAGAGAGAGGCAGGCGGATGGGAAGGATCTGACAGACGTTCACAGCAAGAGAAGCGAAACCGATGATCGCACTCTTCAGAGCCCTTGTGATACCTCTTCTTGAATACTGCTGCCAGCTCCGGACCCCGTTAGCGCTCGGCGCACTGCGGCAAGGGGAAGGGGTCTAGCGAACCTTCACTTCCAGGATCAGGGGGATGGAGGAGTTGAACTTCTGTGGGTGGTTGAAGCGCCTGGGTCTGTACTCACTTCAGAGGAGACGGGAAAGATATGTCATTCTATACACATCTAAAATAATAAGCGGAATGGCTCTAAAGTTTGAGAGCGAGACCTTCAGGATTGAAACAAACCATAACGAGAGAAGGGAGAGACAGTGCATGCAGGATCCCCCAACAACGTAACCGACCTGCGGTGGGATTTCAATCCCTGCAGGAAGGATCTCTTTCCGCGGCAGGGCCAAGGCTGTTTACCGACCTAACAAAGGATTTAAGAAAGGGCGAATTTACCCTGGAGACCATCAAGAGACGACTGGGCGTGAGCCTGGGCACTATCCCTGATCGTCCGCCCCTGCAACACTACCAGCGGCGAGAAGCAAGCAACAGCATCGTGCATCAGCTGGCCCTAACGAGTGCGGATGCACGATAGTCTGAGGCGGCGATCCATCGTGGCCTGGGGCTGCTACGTCCGAAACATACAGTATACTAAGGATAGGTGCTAAGGATGACAAACCATGTAACTTGGACCTTGCTGCTTTCGTAGTTACGTAAACAAAAACCAAATCGTCAATCCTATGCACTTTTGAATATGCAAGTACAATCACGACCAGGGACAGTAATTTCATGCTGTTCTATACAAGACCTTAAAATACAATAATCATATTAAGATTGATGCATTTATTTTTGAACTTAAGATGGCGACGACTTTCTAAATTTGCTCGAGAGTGACGCTGTGGGCCTTGCAGTCCTGGGTCGCCCCCGTATCCTGTTGGCTCTCTAATTGCGCAGCTTCATCGAGGAAGTGAGCGTCATTGACGTGAAGTGCTTGTGCTGCTTTCGTGTCTCAAAGCTCTGCCTGGTACCCGGTCAACACAAGTAATACACTTCACACAGGATTTGTACTGGCAATTATTGTGAACTCCTAACGAATCTAATTCACTACGCATTCTGAGTATATAACGTAGTACGTAATATGTTATGCAGTGTGCCCCGGTAAATTATTGGTAGGCTGCAATGTACCCATAGTAAATTTTTGGTGCTAAGTAGAGTAAGCTGGTAATTTATGATGAAGTAATAAAAACATAATAGATATGAAACAAAAAATCTGAAGAAAAGTGAAAATCGGAACTAAATAGAGTGAAAGCAAAATATAATGCAAACAGAAATGTATTATATTTTCACAGTGCATTAAAACAATAAACAACAAAAAGTCTATCCACTATTCACCCAAGTATTCGAGCAGGGAGTGAGACCTCAATTATCGTTACTAACAGATACGCTATTGAAACTGATCAGTGAAATAATTAATGATTGAATAAGTTTATCGATGCTGAAGAAACAAACAGTTGGAAATATTTTAGGATGCACTACTTCATGGTTGACGTGAAACATTTTTAATCAATAATTTTGACATTTTTTGTGATCTAAATATTAATTTCAATTTCCAAATGGCTCGATGATTGCATAAAAATCTCTTGCAGTTCCAAATTTGTGTCATATCAGCTGAGTGCCTAATCCTGTTTGGAGCACAGAAAAATCCGATTATACTCTTTGCGACCAGATTGAGTGCATTTTATTCAAGTTAAACCAACAAAAAGTAAAAAAATATATGACAGAACTCATGCAATGGGCAGGGTGGCCCAGTGGTTACAGTTCAGAGTACCAATTGATTGGAGCAGAGAGGCGCGGGTTCGAACTCAGCTCTGTCATGTGCGCCAGTTTCTGGTCAGAATCGGCGAGGAGGCCGGGCGGTTAAGCACAGCAGAATTGTAGCAGTGAGTTGCGAGTGCGAGACCGCAAAATGCTGTGAATGTTCTGCGATGTTAAAAATCGGCGACAGGCCTACGGCCTACTAAACGCTGAAACCGCTATTATTATTTATACTATTAATAAACGAAGTGCAGCGCTAAAAATATCTAATCATTTCCCGTTTTGTATATTTTGTCACTATTTACTCAAATTAGTGATGAACGCTCGAAAATTGTCTCGAATGTTATTCCATGAAAGGGACTTATTCCACATCATTAATCGTATCGTCGAAGTGAAACAGATCTCAGCAAGGGATTAAGCAATGACTTCCACATCATTAATCGTATCAATGACGCAAAACTAATCTCAGCAGTTGCGATTAAGCACCGATTCAAACTCTTTATTATAGGATTGAAAGAATCCTTTACTGAAGAGAATATATGCTTTGAGTCAATAGACAAAGATTCATCAAGAAGAAAAAACTTTCTAACACAATAAAAACAAGTTAATGTTGGAAGCAAGAGCTCAAGACGACGACGTGTGGGACTAAAAAAAGTTAATGACACTCGCTAGTTAATGACAATTGTAGAGCAATTCTCAAAAAGCTGACGTACCGTCAAGAAATGGCGCTATTTGGCAGATAAAATGGAAAATTTATTGCACTGTTTGTGAAGATTATACCGTTTTGTCATCAGATAATTAAAAGGAAACTGGACTCCTTGTGATTGGATTTTGTGAAAGCCTCTCCCGAGGTGATCGAATATAGCAGCATTACCGCAGTTTAGTCAATGACCACACATTTATTCGAGAGCAAAAATTGAAAACAAGAGAGAAGGACAAAGGCAGCCAAAGCAAGCAATTAAATGCATCAAATCTGTACACATCCTATGTCAAAAATTATTATTTTCATATCATTATTTTGATCGTATCGTAATCATCATCGGTCCTGAACCAACACACGTACTCACGGTTCACACGCTTTTGTCTTCCTTGAATGGCAAAAAACGATTC